GGTGCTCGGCGCGCCGTGCTTGGACCGTTCGCAGACGCGATTCGTCTCGCGGCCGTGCTCTATTCTCTCGATGACCCGAGCATCGGCGAGTTCCGGATCCGTATCAACGACCGATTCGTTCGCGCGTTCTATCCGCTTTGGCCGATAGGCTCTCCGAAGTCCGCGCGATAAACAGCCGACCTTTCAGTTTCTCAATCTGTTCCTCGATAACTCGGTTTCGATCGCCCGGCTCTCGAGCAGATCCGATAAAACCTTGCGGGATTATTGTTTGAAAGGAAAGCGACAGAGGTCCACCTTGTTCGTACGCGATCATCGAAAAGCTCGTTAAGCCTCGCCGATAGACCGCCGATCTTTATGCGAAATAAAAATCAACGGCATCGATTGCAAGATATTCTTCGATCGCTTTCGTTTTTATGCTATTCGATACTGGATTCGTTTTTACCGTAAATGCGGTAGGTCCGCGGTATACTCGTGCTTATATTAGCGTGCTAATGAAAGTAATAATAATAATAATGATGATAATAATAAGCTTGATCGGTTTCCTTTTGGATCCGCCGTCCAGCGAAGCCGCGAATTCTATTCGCGCCAAGGAAAAAGTCACTTGAAATGAAGTCGGGACTCTCATTTCCTGATTTTGACTAACTTTCAGGACACCCCTTATATTTGACTCGACGACGATTACGGTTGCAGCGATTATGGGGGCGATGGTGGTGAAACAGCGCCCAGGTCAACCCCATGTCCCTATTTTTCCGGAAGAAATTACAAAACAGTTTTTCCCTCTTTTCGAACTTCGGCGCTCGATTATTTACCATCGTTTATCACATTATACCATTATTTACTATATTATAGTTTGCCATTGTTCTTTCTAACGGTCGATCTCGTCTGTTCGCAGATTCCTCTGACTTCGGGGTTCGCAGCTATCGGACCGTCCGCGATGGCCGCTCGTTTATGGTGAGTATACGAAAATCGATGGAAAAACGGGCGCGGCCCGCGGACCCCGAACTTTCCACGGGAAATTGGTGTTCACCGTGGAGGGTGGCGAAGGGCGCCGCTGAATTCCAATTCCATGGGAACGTCGCGGCGCTGTTTCTGCCGACGGAAACGAGATCCTTAAATCATAGAGAGCCGGGCCATGCGTCTTCCCCCGAATCCGAACTCCCTCGGATCCCGCTTATCCCGTGAATTATGCTCGCGCGAGAACAGCCAGCCGAATTTTCTCGGATTGACACCGTCGACGACTCAGACTACGACGACGACGACGACGACGACGACAACTTAGACCGTCGCGCTTTGGAGAGCATCCAACCACCGATGCCGGAGAGAGGAACGCGCGCCGGGTCCACCGGCATCCTTGCGGACGTCTTCGAACGGCCGGCAAGGCCAGCAAATGTCGAGTATTTGGGACCGTCGCGTCGTTTCCCGTCCCGTCCCGTCCCGTCCCGTCTCGTCTGGTCGCGAGAACGCCCTCCAAATTACCGACGCATGCTTTCCACGTGGTTCGCGTGCGCTCGATTCGCGACGCGGCGCGGCAACCTTCGAGAGAGCAGCAGCAGAGAGAGAGAGAGAGAGAGAGAGAGAGAGAGTCTCGGTCGTCCAGCCTCGGTTTTCGGAACCGCCAGAGTGCTTTTGTACAGGTCAGACATAGCTCGTTGCAACCAGACGGTTAAAAGACCTAGAAAACCCCAGAGCGTCGTTGTCGTTCGACGACCCGCGCGAAAAACCCGACCTCGATAATTAGGACCGACTTGGGACCTATAGATCCGAGCTGCGCTGCCAAATTGTACCTTTTTGCTACCCTCGTTTATTCTTCACTCCGTAGAAAGTACAACGCGGCGCAGGGTTTTCGCAAAAAAGCAGAGACTTTGAAATATTTATCAATTCCCAACGCGCCATTGTTGTTGGACGATTTAGACAAATCTACCGATCTCAATAATAATAATAATAATCATCTTAATATGGGTGCATAGTAATGCTAGAATAAAAACGATGACTTGACTTTTTTATTTCTAATTTTTTGCCACGATTCGAAGCCAATTTGGAGGCCAGGTGCTACGATTCGAAGGCAATTCGGAGGCAATTCGGAGGGCGCATGCCACGATTCGAAGGCAATTCGGAGGCCACGTGCCACGATTCAACAGCCACGTGCCTCGTAGCTCCGCGATATTTCTCACTCGATCCCAACAACCCTTAGCCATCGACGTGGCAATAAATTGCATAGACGTAGAACCAGCGCCGGGAAATTCACAGCAGCCCGAAGTTTGGCATTTCCTGGAGAAATTCCTGTAGATCCACGCTACGCTGCCAAATTCGGCTACACCCTCCCTTGGATCTCGCGTTCATGGAAGTCTCGGGGTTCGAGCGGGAGGAGCGAGAGGGGAGACGGAAACGCGGAGCGAGCAGGAAGGTGGTTGGAAGGAGCGGTAGATGCGTCGGTACGCGGCATCGGTGCCGCCGTCGACGTCGACGTCGGCGACGGCGACGGCGTTGGCGGTGGCTTCGTCTGCGACGATCGCTATAAATAATCGAGGGAATCCCGTGGTACCAGGAGAAATTGGCGTGTCCCGACGCGAACACGGCACGCTCTCGCCCCACGAGAGCGAGATATTCGCGCGAGCGAAGCGTTTTACCAGCTAGCGCAGGCTCTTCTCCCTTCTCCCTCTCTCTAATTTTGGCCGTCCGACGAAAACCGTTCGACCAGCGGACGCTCTTTTTCTTCCGCGGCCGAGAATGTGTGCCCGACTTTGCTCCAATTTCTATTCTTAACCGGGATCCTGTCCCGCGCACTTCGAGCGGTTCGGTTCGGTTCGATTCGATTCGATTCGAACCGACCCGATCGCGTCCTCCCCGAGCCGGATCGACGATCCCGCGATGAAATCGCGACGGCGACACTTGTGGCAGGATAGACCGGTCAACGAACGGCACTTGCTACGCTCGAAATTTCTGATATCGGCCGTTGGTTCCACCTTTCTGAAAAACCGCGGAATCTGGGCGCAGTTTCGTCTTTTTCCTCGATGTCCTTTGTATCGCATCGGCGTCGAATGTTCCAATGTTCCTTGACCCTCTGTATTAATATTCCATTCCGAAGAACGGCACTTGCTACGTAAGAAATTTCTGATATTGTCTGGCAGACTGTCGCTACTTCCACCTTTCTGAAAAACTGCAAAGGTGACCGCGAAATCCGGGCGCAGTTTCGTCCTTTTTCTCGATGCTCTATGTATTGCATCGGCGTCGAATGTTCCATCGTTCCTTGACCCTCTTTATTAATATTCCATTCCAAAGAACGGCACTTGCTACGCAGGAAATTTCTGATATCGTCCGGGAGACTGTCGCTAGTTCCATCTTTCTGAAAAACCGCGGAATCCGGGCGCAGTTTCGTCCTTTTCCTCGATGCCCTATGTACCGCATTGGCGTCGAATGTATTAATATTCCATTCCGAAGAAAAAGTGCGAGATTCCGAACCAATTTCGAAATATTCCTTAAGAAAGGGAGGAGCAACCAGGATCGATGGAATCCCGTAAAAAGGGAAGACGTAGGAGAACCTGATGCGACGATACGCTCCGCGTCGCGACGTCTGCCCCGTTGGCTGACCGACTGATCTCTCTTTGGCTCGGTTCTTCGGTTAGAAGAAAGCAGAAAGAGTTTCTGCATGTATACGACCCATATCGGCCACCCTGCCTCGGCCTGTCGAGACAGAAACGCGCGACTATATTCTCGCTAGTATCATCGTGGGCTTATATCTTCCCCGAACATCGATTTTTCGGGAACGCACGTGCCAAGGAACGTTAGGGCTTAGGGTGCGTTGACTTTCGACCGTCTCCTCCGTGCTCCTCGCATCTTTATCGTTCCGACGCGTCTTCGTTCGTTGTAACGAGCTATTGGTCTTGGGGGGTGGTGCGGGGCTGGGGGAGGAAGGTGAGCCGATCTCTCTGCTGTCTCTCTGCTGTCTTTCTGTTGTCTTTCTGTTCTTTCTCTGCTGTTCTTCTGTTGTCTCTCTGTTGTCTCCCTGCAGTCTCTCTGCTGTCTTTCTGCAGTCTCCGTGCCATCTCTCTGCTAATCTTTCTGTTGTCTCTCTATCGTCTCCTTTGTCGTCTCTCTAGTGTCTTTCTGCTGTTTTTCTGCCGTCTCTCTGCCGTCTCCTGGCGTTTCCTGCCGTCTCTCTGCCGTCGTCTCTTTGCTGTCTCTCTGCCGTCTCTCTGCCGTCTCTCTGCCGTCTCTCTGCGGTCTCTCTGCCGTCTCTCTGCGGTCTCTCTGCCATTTCTCTGCCATCTCTCTGCTGTCTCTCTGCCGTCTCTCTGCCGTCTCCTGGCGTTTTCTGCCGTTTCTCTACCGTCTCCCTGCCGTCTCCCTGCAGTCTCCTTGCTGTCGTCTCTCTGCCGCCTCTCTATCATCTCACTGCTATCCCTCTGCCGTCTCTTTACCGTCTCTCGAGCTCCAACCAGAGGCCGCGACGATGCGCCCTTTCCTATCTTCCCCTCCCTTTCGTCTCCTTCGGCCCTCTTCGACCCCGTTCCGTCGCACTGTGATGCGAAACCGTCGAAACGCGGACGAATTCCACGGCACATATAAAAACAATAAGATTGAATTTCCTTAGACTGCTTGCAATTTCAGCATTAATACTCTCTTTACACTTTAATACTCTCCCCAGTGAAGAAAGTATTATTATAATATTAATAAAATCTCTCTATAATATTAATAATTGACGGGCTCCCTGGAAAACGGCGCACGCTACATACCCATCAATTTCATCCCCTTTTTGCTTCATTAGTTTCTCCAAATAGTCTTCAACAATACGTCCGACCGTGTAAGTCGCAGGGAATTTCGTTAGCGACGGTTTCGCCACGGTGGCCGGAAGAGCGCCGTATTAACGGAGCAACGGATTAACGGATTTCCGGTTTGTCGCAGACGAATCTGGCGCGGCCGATTCGCGAGCAGGGGCAGCGGCAGCGGCAGGTCTTGGGCTGGGGCTGGGACTGGGTTGGGGTCGGGAGGGGCCGGGGTTGGGGAACAGGGGCAGGGGCTGGGGTAGGGACAGCGACGACGACGACGGTGTCCGTCAGGTGAACGAAGACGCGAGCGTGCGAGAAACGTGCTCTCGCGCCCTACCAGGCGCCACCACGAAACAGGGGTTGAGTCTGGATCTTATTTCGGCCGAGCGCTCCATACCTCGCATCCAAAGTGGCTAAGAGCGTAAGTCCTCGTCGAGTGCACCAGGAGTGCTCGAGCGGCGGAGAGGTGCAGGTGCAGGTGCAGCAGGACCGACTAGCACCGAGGCGCATGCCTTACCGGGGGCTCGACAGGACGACCCGGCTGTCCACCATGTTTTACACGGTCGAAGTCGGGGACACCAGGTTCACTATTCTCAAGCGATACCAGAACCTGAAGCCGATCGGCTCTGGTGCCCAGGGGATCGTTTGGTAAGTCCGCATCTTCGTCTAAACCCATTCGTTAATGTACGGCTGTGGACAAATATGTGTATACGGATAACCTTGAAATGGGAATAAGATTTTTCTCAACTTGAAAAGGACTTTTTAACTTGAGGACTTTCGCGGGGTAGATTCCTCACCCCATTCGTAATTTTGTATATGGTAGATTCATTCGACAACATGTTTTATAGGTTTCTTTATTTATTCTAGGTTTTATATTATTTTTGTATTATTTTATATATATTTTATTATATTATTATATAGCAATATAATAATGTACAATATAATAATTAATATTAATATGTATTATTTTATATACTTTATATAATTTTTATATATATTATTTTATATTATTTATATATTTTTATTAGGTTTTTTTTATTTATTTTATTCGAATTTTATTCGAGCTGGATCTTTTCAGAGATGTCAGAAGGACTAATTTATTAAACAATCTGGAAACAAATTTTGCAAAAATATCAATTGCGTGGATCGACAATAATGTTCCTCAACTTCTTTTTTGGCTCAGCTTACAACGAAAATTCTAATAACGCGCTTTTAAGGTCTTGGTAATACACGCTGAAAAGATAATTTTAGAAAAGTTGTTCTGTTTTTAAAAATGTCCACATATATTTGTCAACGATCGTATTGTTGATCGATGTAAATCGACGTGGGAGATTTCCGCGATCCGATCGACGAAAGGATCGTCGCGCCTCTGCAAGCATCGATGTTACCTAAGCACTCGGCGCTCGACCGTTGCCAAAAAAGCCACGCGGCGGCGGCGGCGGTCGGCAATCTCTCGCGAGTTTTCTAGCGAAAATTCTAGCTTCTCGCGCGAGTCCCGCGAGCACCGCGATTCAAGTTCTCCGCGATTCAAGTTCCCCGCGATTCAAGTCCCCCGCGAGTCAAGTTCCTCGCGGAAGGGTTCCACGCGATTCAAGATCTCCGTGGAAGGATTTCCCGCGATTCAAGTTCCTCACGATTCAAGTCCCCCGCGAGTCAAGTCTCCAGCGAGTCAAGTCCCCCGCGATTCAAGTTCTCTGCGATTCAAGTTCCCCGCGGAAGGGTTTCCCGCGATTCAAGTCCCCAGCGATTCAAGTTCTCTGCGATTCAAGTTCCCCGCGGAAGGGTTTCCCGCGATTCAAGTCCCCCGCAAGTCAAGTTCCCCGAGATACAATTTCCTCGCGATTCAAGTTCCACGCGGAAGGGTTCCACGCGAATCAAGTCCCCTGCGATTCAAGTTCTCCGCGATTCAAATCCACCGCGAGTCAAGTTCCCCGCGATTCAAGTTCCTCGCGGGAGAGTTCCACGCGATTCAAGTTCTCCGCGGAAGGGTTCTGCACGATTCAAGTTCCCCGCGGAAGGGTTCCCTCGAACCATGCGAAAGTGTGCCGCTCGATCTTCAAATTGCACGTGTGTTGCAGCGCGGCGTACGACACGCTTACCGCTCAGAACGTGGCGATCAAGAAGCTCTCGAGACCTTTTCAAAACGTGACGCACGCGAAAAGGGCCTACAGGGAATTCAAGCTAATGAAATTGGTCAACCATAAAAACGTGAGTCTGCCTCCCGGAGGCTTCCTCCGACCCCCGTCTCCTCCATCCCCTTGGTATCGAGGAAACTCGCGGTGTAACGGAAACGTTTGTCCTTCCTCGCCGTTTAGATCATCGGTCTTCTGAACGCGTTCACGCCGCAACGATCGTTGGACGAGTTTCAAGACGTGTACCTGGTGATGGAGCTGATGGACGCGAACCTGTGCCAGGTGATACAGATGGATCTGGATCACGAGCGCATGTCCTACCTTCTGTATCAAATGCTATGCGGCATCAAGCACTTACACTCCGCCGGTATCATTCACAGGGTGAGTTTCCCGACGATTCCGCTGCATCCGCTCCACGACGAAGGTTCCACGGAATCGTCGAACGTGAACGAATTTAATCCACGCGTTGAATCGTCCGCAGGATTTGAAGCCGAGCAACATCGTCGTCAAGTCGGACTGCACGCTCAAGATCCTCGATTTCGGGCTGGCGAGAACCGCCGGGACGACGTTCATGATGACGCCGTACGTCGTCACGCGGTACTATCGAGCGCCAGAGGTAAGCAAACCCTTTCTTCGTCTAGATTTCTCCTCGTTCGCTTTCCTCCATTACCTCTTCCTCGTTCTCTCGGATGAATTTAAGACGAGTGTCCTTAAGGTACAATAGGATCTCCCCCCAAAAAATGTCTCGCAAATGTCTCTCAATCTGGAGATGGGGGATTCCTGAGGTCATTTGGAGTAACTTTTTCCTTTACAAAAATTTTCTTCGACGCGCCGTTAACGAGTTATCAACGAAAAACACTGACCAATGAGGGGCGAGCGCTCGCTAGGCGCCAGGCGCCAGGCAGCCGAGCCAATGAGCGGAACTGGGCTTCGCGCGCTCGTTGACCGGACCGCCTCGCGCTAGCCGAGCTCGCGCCTCATTGGTCAGTCTTCTTTCGTTAATAACTCGTTAACGGCGCCTCGAAGAAAATTTTTGTAAAGGAAAAAGTTACTCCGAATGACCTCAGGAATCCCTCATTTCCGTATCGCGAGACATTTGTTGAATAAATACTCCAGTGGCCCTAGCCACGACTCTAGCCACTCCACAGCACAGATTGGCAAGACGCGGGCAGGAGTAAAGGGCAAAGGGTACAGGGTCCGCATAGACAAAACTATAGAGCAACTCTCGAGTGTTTTCCTCTCAGATGGACACTCGCCTTTGGAGAGTAACAGATCGGCGAGGAATATGACAGGAATAACGTGGAATAACGAGGAGGTTGCAACCGATTGCACGAGGTTTAATCGTCTTTTCTCCCGCAGGTGATCTTGGGCATGGGCTACAAGGAGAACGTGGACATCTGGTCGGTCGGATGCATCATGGGCGAGATGATACGGGGCGGCGTACTCTTTCCCGGCACGGATCACATCGACCAGTGGAACAAAATAATTGGTACGCTCTCGTCGGTCTCCTTCCCCCCGTCTCCCTTCTCGTCTCCCACGTCGTTTCCCGTTCCCGGCCGGTCGTCGTCCGGGCTTCCTCGTCGTGAAACAACGGGACAAAAGCGACTCACGATTGTTGCAGAACAACTTGGAACGCCGGCGCAGGAGTTCATGCAGCGGCTGCAGCCGACGGTGAGGAATTACGTGGAGAACAGGCCGCGATATCCTGGATACCCGTTCGACAGGCTATTCCCGGACGTGCTGTTCCCCTCGGACTCCTCGGAGCACAATAGATTAAAAGGTGAGTAGGTCGACGAGCGTCGTCGGGCCGCCGCGACGGCATCGATCGCCGCGAGAACTAGGCGGAAACTGCGCGGAAACCGGCGGCGTTCTTCCGCCGGTCCCGGACCGTTGTTCCGCCGCGGTTTTCTCGCCGCTCGCCGGCGCGGCGCGTCTTTTGCCGGCCTTATCCTCCTCCACTGGTCCGCGATATTCCCTTTTTCTCCGTTTTTCAGCCAGCCAAGCCAGGGATCTATTGTCGCGCATGCTCGTCATCGACCCCGAGCGACGCATCTCCGTCGACGACGCTCTGCTGCACAATTACATAAACGTGTGGTACGACGAGGGCGAAGTCAACGCCGTAAGTGTCGAACGAAAATCCTGCCAAGCCGCGCGCACGCGGATGGTCTCGGACGTGTCTCTTCCTTCCGCGGAACGAACGACGCGGGGGAAACGCTTCCGTTATTATTTCACCCGGCCGGGCTTCGCGGGGATAGATAGATGGATCCGGGCCAAGAAACTCGGGCTATCGGTTTTTTTTCTTTCTCGGTGATTCCTTTTATCGTCGGACGTTACGCTTTCGTTCGAAAAAAAAGGAAAAAAAAGAATAGATAACGCGCGTGTTCGAAACTTTTCGCGGAGACGTCTCGAGGCTCTCACGGACGCGGGTTTATTCCTCCGTTTAATAATAGCACCTGATCTAATAATTCCCGATAACGATAGGAAACAAGATACCGCGGATTCCAACAGATACGGCCTACCAGGAAGCTCGGATAATTTTCTAATCCTCCGGAACGCGATAGCGATGCGTCCGTGTATGTGTACCGATGATTCTTGCACCCGTAGCGTAGACCGAGAATTTACGAACGTGCACCGTAAAGAGCTCTAGATAAGCAACGAACGATTCGTTCGCGTCGGAGCCACGATTCGGACCACCGCGCGACCAACGGCGGCAGCGTTTCATCATTTCTTGCGACTGCATCGTGGAACTTTTACTGCGATCGAGATAGAGCGATGAAAACATTTTGGACTCCTTGCGCTGTGATCATTTTTCTCGCTCCGATCTTTTTACCACGTCCGAGAGACGTGGTAATCATTTTTGGCTTGGTTTTTGATCACGTCTCTCGGACGTGACGAACATTTCTGGCCCGATTTTGTGACCACGTTTTTCTGGTGCGGTAATCAGTTCTGGCCAGATTTTTTATCACGTCTCTCAGACGTGGTGATCATTTCTGGTTCGATCTTTTTACCGTGTCTCTCAGACGTGATAATTATTTGTGACCCGATTTTTGACCATGTCTCTTAGACGCGATGAACATTTCTGGTTCGATCTTTTTACCACGATAATTATGTGTGACTCGATCTTTGACCACGTCTCTTAGACGTGATAATCATTTCTGACCCGATCTTTCACTACGTCTCTTAGACGCGATAATCATTTCTTGCCCGACTTTTTGACCACGTTTCTCAGACGTGATAATTATTTGTGACCCGGTTTTTGACTATGTCTCTTAGATATGATGATCATTTCTGGTTCGATCTTTTTACCACGTCTCTTAGACGCGATAATTATTTGTGACCCGATTTTTGACCATGTCTCTTAGACGCGATGAACATTTCTGGTTCGATCTTTTTACCACGCTTCACAGACGTGATAACCATTTCTGGTTTCATCTTTTTACCACGTCCCTCAGACGCGATAATTATTTGTGACCCGACCTTTGACTACGTCTCTTACACGTGATAATCATTTCTGACCCGATCTTTCACTACGTCTCTTAGACACGATAATCATTTCTTGCCCGATTTCTTGACCACGTCCCTCAGACGTAATAATCATCTCTAGCCTGATTTTTTACCACGTCTCTCAAACGTGATAATCATTTCTGACCCGATATTTTGGCCACTCTCTTAGACACGATAACCACTTCTAGCCCGATTATCTGACCACGTCTCTCAGACGTGATCATAGAGCAAAGCATTAAATCGAAGCCGAAAGCGGAGCGACGGAAAAACAAAGATGAGGGTGACAGCGATGCTTCGACCTTGGAAGTAATTCATGAAACCTTCGCGGCTCTGTCTCGATTCCATGAAAAGTCGTACGATGCGTAGAGTGCGCGGAGAATCGATGATTTACGATGGATCCGTTTCAGCCGGCGCCCGGTCCGTACGACCACAGCGTGGACGAACGGGAGCACACGGTGGAGCAGTGGAAGGAGCTGATCTACCAGGAGGTGATGGAGTACGAGACGAGCCACAATCCGGCGACGGTACCTCAAACGTCAGAGAGCGGCGGCTCCCGGTAGACACGGACCGCGGCCGGGTCTTCGTCAGCCGACTCTTCGAGGACGCATCCAGACTGTCCGATCTCTATCGTATAAATATATCGCGGGAATCGAAGGGAGAGTGACGACGATACAGAAACTGTCTTGCGCGGCCACGTTGGAGAGAGGCGGGCGCCGCAGCCGCCGCCGCCGCCGTCGCCGCCGCCTCTGGCTTCTCCTTCGCGAGACGAACGAATTATAAAAAAAAAAGAAAAGAAAGAAAAAACGGTCCAGGCGGGGAACATGCGAGACGAATGAGCAGACGAGAGAATGAACAACGGTTAGTTTTCGAGGAGCGCGCGCGCGCGTGTGCCTGTCGGAACACCGAGCGACGCGATCACGACGACGACGACGACGACGACGTCGACGACGACGAGAAGCCGACAGAGATTGAGAGAAAACCGAGAAAAACGTCCGGGAGCGGGAGAGAAAGAAACGAGGGTGCCGATGCTCCGCCGGTTTTCGAGTCTCGGCGGCGAGATCGACGAGCACACACCGGACGCGTAACCATTGTAATGTAATAATATATTCCCGCAACCAAAGCATAGACGCGATACAGAAGATAACGCAACGTTCGACGTTGCTTTGCTCGATCTTGCTCCCCTCTCCGATCTTAATCTCCCCCGTGCGAGAAACTCGCGTCCGTTCCCCGCGATCGAGCTTAAGCAGAGAGAGAGAGACCCGACAGCGCGTCGTCGTCCGACTCTTCGTTTCCTTTCGACTATTCCGCCCGTGTCGCGTACACCGACGCTTGCGTCTTGTTTCTTTTCTCTCTCATCCTTTCTCTCTCTCTCCCCCTCTCTCTCTCTCTCTCTCTCTCATACATATAAGCATACACACATAGACACACGTACATATTTTTCCTCTCTCTCTCTCTCTCTCTCCAGCTATTTATCCGTCTCTATCTTAATCCGAACCCCCGCTGTCGTCTCCGTCACCGTTCCACGCGCGATTCGGTGAGAAGCGAAAGCCAGCGAGGAGGAAAGAAAGCATTACTGCCATCGGATCGTCGAATCGAGTCGATCGGCTCGCGGCCGACTCGAGCGATCTCGTCGAAGAACACGCCGGGCCGATCTCGAAGCGTCCTTTGCGTCCTTGCGCGGCAATATCTATTTTTCGTATCGTCCTTAGAATTCGGGAACAAATCCGCGATTAAGAAGATAAAGAAAAACGAAAATCTGGCGGGAGGCGGCGCGACGAGATCGCGACGGGGCTCTCGCGATCCTGCTCGCGCACATATCACCGCGATCATGCTCGCGCGATCATCCTGTTCGCGTTCGATGACGGTGATGGCGACACGCGCGCGACGGCAACGCGTCGTCGGCCTCGCACCACCGTTTCGCAGGGCTCGCAGCTTCGCGAGAAGAACGGGACACCCTCTGTTCCGTGGCGACGACCAAGCCACGCACACACATACACATACACACACACGCGCGAAACAGTTTTCTACGTGGAACCTCCGTGTAAAGCGTCCGACATACAGGGTGTGCGGCGAGCACCGAAATGGCGCCCGACGAGCCAAAGTCCCCGTTTCAATAAAAACGAACGAAACAAAACACAAGAAAGAAAGAAAGAAGGAAGGAAGGAAAAAGAGTCCGTTCAAAAAGTCCCGAGTCCGAGAACATTCGATGCACCGCGATCGGCCGAGATCGAATCGGAACGAGAACAATCGTGTATTTTTATAACGCAGAAACCACCCCCCGCCCCGCCCCACCTCTTTGCGATACCGCACGCGGCACTGCGCGCGCGCGCGCGCGTGCTTTTTACGTCTGATATTTTCTATACCGCTAACTTTGTAAGATGATGCGTCGCGTTCTGTCCGACATTGTTGCAAACGATATTGTATTCCCCAGGGGGAGGAGAAGGAGGAGGAGGAGGAGGTGTAGGAGGTTACGAACGGGGGGGAAGAAGGAGAAACGGAGGGGGGGACGGAGCGGATATCGGCGACGGTGTACACTCTCTACCACCTGTCTCTCTCCAGCTTCTTTTCCGTTGTCGCTTCTCGCGGTCGCATCGTTCCGGTGGCACACGGTCTCTCCTCGAATCTTCGCTGTCGACGACGATCCGCGAAAAAAGAAGAAAAAAAGAAAACGGCAATAAACGTACGGCGGCACGCCGAGAATGTATATCCACCGATCATACCACACGCAGGACAACGCGAGATTCGTTCCACGAGTTCGATCCCTCGTTCGCGCAAGAGCTTCTCTTCTCTCTTTTCCCTTCTCGCCGATGTTTTGCGCGAACAAGGATCTCTCGCGTCGGACCCGTTCGACTCTTTTGCTCTCTCGCGAGACCGTTCTTCACTCGACGTCGTCTTCGCTCTTCGTACCTTAGTTTACCTTTCTTTTAGTTTAGGAAACGTTTTTCGCGCGACCGTTGTATATTTCCGAAGGGACGTACACGCGCATACGAGCATAACACGCCCATGCAAGAGCGCGCGCGCGCACACCTACACACATACACGCACATGCAACCGTGCGGAAACATACGCGTAATACACACACAAACACACAACACGAATACACACACGAAAACGTACATAATTTAGCGTTTAAGCTCGAACCAGCGGAATGCGCATCTATTCCAAAGCGACACGTTTGCGTTTGTGGCAATATCTGTACAGTAGCCGGCTAGACAAACGGAAATGGACGACGGCGACGTCGACGACTGCGACGGTGACGGTGACGGTGACGGCTGCGACGAGAGTTAAGACAACTGTGACACTATTGGTGATGATTATTATTACTATTATTATTATTATTATTGCTACGGCTAGTACTACTATTTTTAATATTATTATTATTATTATTATTATTATTTTTATTTCTATCACTATTATTATTATTATTATTATTATTATTATTATTATTATTATTATTATTATTATTATTATTATTATTATTATTATTATTATGACGATTATTATTATTATTAATATTATATGAATTATTGTATTTATTACGGGTTACTACGAAACCAATAATCGACGATCGCGATAGGACGGTGAACGAGAGTGTAATGTGAACGTTGAATTTTTATTTTCCACGACGATGAATAGTTATGTGAATATATTGCTACAGTCCGATCCAAATAATCAAGCTTTTGTAACACTAATTGTAATAAAGCAACGGTGATACTGCTAATCGCGTGATTGTATCGCGCGCACACACACACACACCACACTTGACGACGACGACGACGACGACGACGATGATTTCGATATCGAATTTACGAAATAATAAAACGGCAGGCGTGTGTGGTCGAGTCGCGCGATAGGGGATGGTGCGCGCGGCGGCGGAGAGGAGCGGCGAAGGAAAAATCGTGCGGAAAAATCGTGCGAGAAAATCGTGCACCGGGAGAAAAAGAATGAAAAAGAGACTCGACCCGCCCGCGGGGTGTCGAATACGAAACGAAGAGAAAAAGGAAACGACGGTATCCGAGCGATCCGATCGCGCGTCGTTCGGGTCTCGTCGTTCTCCTTCTCGTCGCCCATTTGGTTTCCACGCGGCCGCGGGACCGACAACCAACCGTTCGCCGGTCTCTCTCGGGCCCGCCGACGAACAAAACAGAGACCCGCCAGCTCTTCCACGCGTGCCCGTAACGCGAAAAGAAAAAAAAACAAAACGCGTATCCAACCGAAAGGACTCGGTGAACCGTGATTCCTTGGAATTTCGTCCAGCTCTCCTCGAGCCAAAGCACAATATCTCGATGCGTTCGAGATCCAAGTATAACCGACTCGAGCGAAAACTTTCGTTTCTTTCTTCTTCTTTGGTTTTTGTTCTCCTCTGCGCCGCGATCTCTCCTGTTCTGCCGACGGAGGAAGAACGGCCGACGAAGAGTCCGCCGAGCGCCGGAAGAGGATCGATTCCGCGGCGAGGACAGATCGCCGCCGCGTTTGCCGCGGCTCCTCGCGAGCTTTAATCCGCGATCGAAAGACGTTTCTCTCTCTCTCTCTCTCTCTCTCTCTCTCTCTCTCTCTCTCTGTGTGCTTCTGTCTCTCCCTCTCGGGCGTTCGTTCGCGACCGGAACTCCTCCGTCACTGGAACCTCCGTCGGCGGAATCTCCGTCGGCGGAATCTCCGTCGCCGGAACCTCCGTCGGCGGAATCTCCGTCACTGGAACCTCCGTCGGCGGAATCTCCGTCGGCGGAACCTCCGTCGGCGGAATCTCCGTCACTGGAACCTCCGTCGGCGGAATCTCCGTTGCCGGAACCTCCGTCGGCGGAACCTCCGTCGGCGGAATCTCCGTCGGCGGAATCTCCATCGGCGGAATCTCCGTCGGCGGAACACTTCCGTTACTGGAACACTTCCGTCGGCGGAACACTTCCGTCGCCGGAACCTCCGTCGGCGGAGCGGCGAACCGAAACACCTCCGTCGCCGGAGCGGCGAATCGGAGACGCGAGAAAGAGCCGAGAGCGTCGAGAAAGAGGGGGGGAGAGGAGAGGGAAACGTCCTGCGAAACGAGATCGTCAGGCTCCGCGGATCGTCGCGCTTCCGTGCAACCGATCTGCATGCATAGTTCTCTTCTTTCGCCGGTTTCCGTTCGACCTTTGCGTTCGAGCATCGTAGCGGCGGTACGTCCGCAGACGCGCAACGCGATTCGACGATAATAAAGACAGCAATAGCAAATAGATTGTAACTTAATTAGCGGGCGGCGATTAAATGCGGCGATTTAAGTTAGTCGACGCGCGCGACCCCGACCGGGCCGACGAGCCGGAAAAAAGAAATGAAACGTCTCTCTTTCTTCTACGGACGATAAAAGACGATTATTTACGAAATCGCCCGGACTCCGAGGGGACAAACGAACACTGGTGTGCATGTGGCGGCGCGTGACTGTGTATCCATTATTATTATTATTATTATTATTATTATTATTATTATTATTATTATTATTCGAGCGTGAAAGTGGAGAGAGAGAGAGAGAGAGAGCGAAGTGGTAGACTAGAAAAATTATACGCAGCGCCGAGACGACGATCTCCTGTCGACGTCTCTGTTTCTTTTTCACTTCTCTTCTGTGTTCTTTCCCGAGTCTTTTTTCTTTTCTCTTTTTTTTCTGTTTGTTGTTTCCGCGTGAAACACGCGTAAGCACGCGACCGTCGTATACGAGAGAACACACTTTCCGAATTTCGACCGAACGGCTCGTCGCACCTTAGAACGCGCAATATCGGTATTTAACGAGAACGAAAAAAAGAAAAAATGAGAGAAAGAAAGAAAGAAAGAAAGAAAGAAAGAAAAAAAACGAGCGAACGGTCGAACTGATACGAGAAAAGAACAAATGATGTTACAGCCGACAAATGGGAAAATTGTAATAATATCGGTAAGAGGAGATACGCTAACGATAATACTAACGATAATAATAACGATAATTATCGATAATACTAATATTAATAATACCATCGCTAACGATACTATTACTACTACTAATAACGATACAAATAATAAAAGAATAGTAATAATAACATTAATAATAATAATAATAATAATAATAATAATAATAATAATAATGATAATATTGATAAACTTAATAATAATGATAATAATATTAATAATAATATTAATAATAATAATAATAATAATAATCGTGTCCATGCCTGTAGTGAAGAGGAAAAAACGAAGCATAACATAACCGGGTACCTTCTAAGTGACGTGCCTTTGAGACTCTTCGAAGCAAACGATCGGTTCGTCGTTAGCCTTCGACTTTGCCCGCGGAGAATTAGACGCTTCTTCAGTGCGTCCGTATTGCGCGTTTCAAGGGGGTGGGTTTGGGGGCGGTATAATCGCTGTTATCAGGCCAATCGACGATGTACATACATTGTCGCGTCGCGATCGTTCTGAGGCGCGGCGTCGCGACACGAGAGCCTGGCGGTCGCCGCTTCCGTTCGCTTCGCTTCGTTTCGAATAAATGCGCGCGAACCTCTTTTTAGTATACATATAATATAGTGAGAGAGAGAATGAGAGAGAGAGAGAGAGAGAGAGAGATAAAGAGTGTGTGTGTGAGAACGAGAGAGAGAGAGAAAGGGAGATACGCGAAATCGGACAAACCGTAGAAGAACGGACTCAGAAAAATAGAGAAAAAAGAAAGAGAGAGAGAGAGAGAGAAAAGAGAGAGAACAGAATTAGATAGGTAGAGCAAAAGGCTCGATGTCGACGGTACACTTAGCGTACGATCCGACTAACAACAGTTTACCGATATAATCCGTTGTTTCGTTTTTGTTTTTGTTTTTCTTTTTGTCAATTTTTTTTTTTTTTAGCACGATTAAACGTGATATACATATACCGAAAACGAGGAAATATTTTGATCGATTTATAATCGAGAGGAATGGGATCGAGCGTAGGAACAAACAAAAGGGGAGGAGAGAAGAGAAAAATAATGGAAATAAAAAAATGCAGAACATAATAATGTCCATGTTGCTAAATATTAGCGGTGAGGTGTAGTGTGCGTGTAGCAACGTCTTAGTTTAATAAAAAATTAGTTTATAAACACGACGCGACGAGCAAAAAAAGAGAGAGAGAGAGAGCGAGAAAACGAGAGAGTGAGAGAGAGTGAGAATGAATGATCGAAAGAGTGAGAAAGAAAGATCGAGAATGCGTGCGAGGCGTATTGAGAGAACGATCGACCGAACGAAAGTCAGGAGAACCGACTGATGCCGACGGACACACGGTACGTACGTACAAAAAAAAACACGTACACGTACACGCATACACACTTTTACACACACAGAGAAAGAGAGAGAGAGCGACATATACAGAGAGAGAGAGAGCGACATATACAGAGTGAGAGGGAGAGCGATATATACAGAGAGAGAGAGAGAGAGAGAGAGAGAGAGCTCGACATATACAGAGAGAGAAAGAGAGAGAGAGAGCGCGACATATACAGAGAGAGAGAGAGAGAGAGAGAGAGAGAGAGAGTGCGACATATACAGAGTGAGAGAGAGGGCGACATATACAGAGAGAGAGAGAGAGAGAGAGAGAGAAAGCTCGACATATGAAGAGAGAGAGAGAGAGCGTGACATATACAGTGAGAGAGAGAGAGAGAGAGAGCGACATATACAGAGAGAGAGAGAGAGAGAGAGAGAGCGCGACATATACAGAGAGAGAGAGAGAGAGAGAGAGAGCGCGACATATACAGAGAGAGAGAGAGAGAGAGAGAGAGCGTGACATATACAGTGAGAGAGAGAGAGAGAGAGAGAGCGACATATGCAGAGAAAGAGCGACATACACAGAAAGAGAGCGACCCACACAAACACACGTACACATACACACAGATACAGAGATCAGCACGACGCATAGTAGCCGTAGACGAGAAACGTTAGAATGTAGACATTTAGGTGGAGTTATCGAGCCCGTTCCTTCGTATTAGATAGATAACGGTAGCCCTGTAGAGATGCCCGATGCGGCGCGATGTCCGACGAGAGCGCGCGAAGAGCCAACAACAGCGCGCGATATCTTTCGCTCGAACCGCGATCTCCTCGTTCGAAACGATGATGCTCGAGAGACGATCGCCGAAGGCTTCCCGGCTCGCCAGAAACCCTCCGTCTCCGTTCGCCAGAAAAACGCCCGAAAGAAACACCTCTATTACTTTCCGAGTCCGTCGACTCTCGCAGCAATAAGAAAAACACACATACACACACACCGTGATCGCCGGTCCCGAGAACGGGGCCCGATCCGTTCGCGGGGAGAAAGGTTCACTCGCGAGCTCCGATCCTCTCGGCTCGGTTCTCCGGGAGATCCGGCGATCTCGATCGCGATCCGGGAAGCGTCGGCGAGCGTGCGCGAGTCGCGCGCGCGCGCCCGCGACAGAGCTCGCCGGTTTTCCGTTTTGTATGTCCGGAGGACGATCCTCTCGCCGGGGAGCTCTGCCGCGGGCAAACCGAACCGCGCGATAAATCGCGGAGCAGCCGAGCTCGTGCGTTTCTCACCTGTGGCGTTTCAGGTGGCGTACGGGGATCAACGGGAGTATAATAAGAGAATAAAAAGTGAGAGAGAGAGAGAGTGTGCGTGAAAGAAAAAAGAGAGAGAGAGAGAGAGAGAATAGAAGAGGAGAAAAAGCAGAGCAGAAGCAAGGATGATCGACGGTTGTAGAAGAGGCGGTGATCGCGCGTAGGCGGAGATCGACACGGGAATTATTCACGGCCAGCAGCAGCATTGGTCCCACGCGGAGATCGTGAACACGTAAATTATTATAAATATTAATGCATTAATAATTATCGAGTATATACCTCTTCTGTACATACAATTAAAGAGAAAAGAAAATGGTGGCAACAATACATATACGATATAAACGTGCGGAACGATTTGACGAGATGCGTCGCGCCGACGAGGTGAACGGCGAACAGCGAAAAAAAACGTTGAACGATGTGTTATCGTGTACCTCTATCCGCATTCTGTGTTTCCTTTTGCGACCGACGACGACGACGACGACGACGACGACGATAATGATAACGGGATACGTTGACGTTGACGTTGACGTCGACGTCGGCGTTCACGTTTACGTTTTTACGTTTACGACGAGGACGTGGACGGAGGACGCTGCTACTAAAAACCCGGCCCGCACCGACGCCCAGAGACTTTGTTGCGTGGATGATTACGAACGTGTAATGTAATTATATTATCACGGCGATACGATGTAACGGTATGATCCACACCACGGTATAAATATTATAAATACATAAAGTACGACGATGATCACGTTGGCAATGAAACACGCTGATTTTTATTATTATTATTATTACTATTATTAGTATTAGTATTATTAGTATTATTAGTATTATTAGTATTATTAGTATTATTAGTATTATTAGTATTATTATTAGTATTATTATTATTATTATTGTTACTATACCATCGTTGCGATTTTGTACCGTATTTCTGGCGGTTATTATTCTTGTCGAATCCGAGGAGACGAGAGAGGAAGAGTGAGAGAGAGAGAGAGAGAGAGAGAGAAAGAACGAATAAGAGAGCGAGTAAGAGAGGGAGAGAGAGAGAGAAAGAACGAATAAGAGAGCGAGTAAGAGAGAGAGAGAGAGAAAGAACGAATAAGAGAGCGAGTAACAGAGGAAGAGAGAAAGAGCGAATAAGAGAGGGAGAGAGAGAGAGAGCGAAAGAGAGAAGCGAGAGTGAGATTTCGACGCGAACGCGTGTCGCACCGTGCACGCGTCGCGGATCTTTCAATTAGATCTAGACTGACAAGGGGTTCCTAAGTCTTCTCTGGACGATTCTTTCGAAGGTTTCGCGATTCGTAGGTGCGAGAACGGGGGTCGAGAGGGGTCGTGGCGGACCGTCGGCCGTCCGGATCGCTGCGGACGGTGTGCCGGCGACAATCCTTTTTCCGTTCGAATGCCGCCCCTCTCCGTTTGAGTTCATCATACCGCGAACATCCCTTCGATCGCCGCAGCAATTATAGAGCCTGTCGATGAAGAGAGAAAGAGAGAGAGACCGAAACTGTTCGAAAGAGACGTCGCTCGAATGGATCGTTCGCAGCCGAGCTCGGCGAGCTTTCGCTTCGCGAAGCTCGGTAGCCGCGTTTCTGGCCGTAAAACGATCGTCCCCCGTCGTTATTTATCGAGAGAACCGAACAAATGCTCGATGAGAACGACGCTGGTTGTTGGTTGAAAGTGAATAAAAGAGAACTGAGACAACCGTGGCTTTCTTTATCTCTATTCTCGCTGTTGTATTATACCTGTAGCCCGGGACTGTAACACGTGGACGTCGTTTAGTCGTCGATGACTCGACTTTTTTAGTTCTAATTCGAAGGCAATTCGCAGGGCACGTGATACGATACGAAGGTAATTCGCAGGGCACGTGACACGATTCGAAGACAATTCGCAGGGCACGTGACACGATTCGAAGAAAATTCGCAGGGCACGTGACACGATTCGAAGGAAATTCGTAGGGTACATGCCATAATTCGAAGGCAATTCGCTGGGCACATGACACGATTCGACGGCAATTCGGAGGTCACATGCCACGATTCGAAGACAATTTGGAGGCAATTCGGAGGCCACATGCCACGATTCGAAGGCAATTTGGAAGCAATTCGGAGGCCGCATGCGACGATTCAGAGGCAATTCGCAGGGCACGTGACACGATTCGAAGGCAATTCACAGGGCACATGCCACGATTCGAAGGTAATTCGGAGGCCACGTGCTACGATTCGAAGGCAAATCGAAGGAAATTCGGAAACCGCATGCCACGATTCGAAGGCAATTCGGAGGTCACATGCCACGATTCGAAGGCAATTCGCAGGTCACATGCCCCGATTCGAAGTCACATGCCTATTACAGAAAAATCGTCCCTAATTGACGCTCAGATTGCACACAAAAGTGAACAATTGTAGAGAATTCGCTGTACGCATTGAAATTCGAGCCCGTCGGTGCCGCCCTCCGGTCGACAATTCCAAGAATCGATCGCCTCGATCGGGACAGTTTCGCGCGAAACGATTCGCGAACGGGAAATTCGGCCGCCGCGATGGGCGACATCCTGCAGAATTGGATCCAAGCGAGGCTGGGGATCCTGATCGATCTCGGGCCGAAGGTGTTCGGCCATTACACGAAGGACGGCAAGCTGCTGGCGCAGATTCTTCTCAGTTACGACATAATAAGCCGCGATCAGCTGGGAACGATAATCGCGACCCACGATCCGGCGCTCTGCAGGGTGAACCTGAAGCACCTGAGCTTCTGGCTGCGGTTCCTCGGGATCGAGCTCGACGACGAAAACATCGACGAGATCTCCTGCGGGAACGGCTCCGCGTCGTTGCGGCTGTTCTACAAGGTCTACCTGTGCCTCGAGACCAAGGACAGGCTGCACTTTATCACCTTGCAGAAGGAGAGGGAAAAGTTCGTGCCCGCCTCCCGCAAGTTCGAGGTGAGCACCGTTTGCGAGGATCCGGCGCCGTACGAGCCGCCGGAGCATCCTCGCGCGAAAAAGTTGCTGGCGGGAAAGGAGACGGTCGTCGGATGGCACAGATCCAAGTTCCCGGCGATCCTGCGGAAGCTGAAGAGGGAAAGGGAGAAGCTCGAGGTGCCCGCTTGGGACCCGTACCCGGTCGTGCGACCCGTCGAATATTGCCTCGACCAGGTATTTGCTCGTTTTGCGCGACCTGCTGCATCGATATTGCAGTATAATAATATAAAATTATGTAATGTATGATGTAAATATAGTATAAATAATGATTTAATGTAAATAAGGTTATATAAATAATATAAATAATATAATAATATAATATAATATAATATACAAATAATATAGATAATATAATAATGTAATATAATATACTACAAATAATATAGATAATATAATCATGTAATATAATATAATACAAATAATATAGATAACATAATAATGTAATATAAATAATATAATACAAATAATATAAATAATATAATCATGTAATATAAATAATATAATACAAATAATATAGATAATGTAATCACATGTAATATAAATAATATAATACAAATAATATAGATAATATAATCATGTAATATAAATAATATAATACAAATAATATAGATAATGTAATCACATGTAATATAAATAATATAATACAAATAATATAGATAATATAATCATGTAATATAAATAATATAATACAAATAATATAGATAATATAATAATGTAATATAAATAATATAATACAAACAATATAAATCCTACAATAATATAACATAAAAATAAAATATCATTAAGAATAAAAAGGACAGCTCCTCGCATCTGAATCGTTTTCAGTGCTCGGTAGATTTAATATTAACTTGCTTGTCGAATTATTATATTAATTACTCATGTTCTACAGCGTCGCAATCCGTTATATTTATAAAATATCGAAGCAGCAGAGTCTCCTGAACAGTTCCACTTGCTTAGTCAATACTTTAAAGACCTAGTTTTTCCATGATTAATGTTTTTTAACAACTCTGTATTGTGTACAGAGGAGAGATTTTAAATATTATTCCATTTGCAACAAGCAGCGCTCAAGCATGCAGCGAGAAAACGCGGAAACTGTTCGACAAATTATCTACAATAGCTATTTTTCGGGAACAGCAGATGGCGCCAGTGTGCATTTCCGAAGGATAATTAGCTCTGTCGGTAAGTTTGGCTAACAGTTTGAGCGTTTTGCCACTGCGCGTTTTGGCGCTGTACGGACCCCCTTAAAACTAGTTACGAAATTCGCCACGCGCGGCGCCACTTGTAGCGAGTGGCACTAGCTTTGAATCTCTGCTATATCCTCGATGCGCGGAAAATTCGTGCCGGATTTTGCATCGTGTGTTACGGGAAACGCGGCACGAATCTATTGCTTCGATATTTGATATCCGAGCCGAAAGTGAAAAAGGATTCATTACTAATTTATTACAACCCAAATATAATTATTGTACAGTAATTACAAGCAATAATCACAGTAACTACAGCAAATACTATCATTACAGGTACAGTAAATTCTCTCTAATCGTCCTTCAGCTTGTAAACTAAAACGTTACGTTTTTATAATTGTTGACAATCGGCGACTATAAAAAGGAGCCACGAAATTTGAACAATGGCATCCCTTCTTCTCAAATTTACCATTTCAACTTACAAGCTGAAGGACAATCGGAGAGAATTTACTGTATATACCATCATATACAGGGTGTCCCGTTGCATTTTCGCTAAGGAAAAAGTTACTTGAAATGGCCTCAGGAACCCCCCATTTTCGGCTGTCGACATAATTATGGAGCAGATCTCTTCTGTGTTCTCCGATCGTGAAACTGTCCCATTTGATCTGCCCCTCCCCCCTCGTCCAAATTTCGCAGAAATTGGAAGAAGATGGCTGCAAGAGGATCGAGGAAAGTCTGGAAGCGGAACAGTTCGCTCGGAAGACCGGGGTCAAGCCGAAAAAGACCGAGGACGAGATCGAGAAGACCGAGGACCGAGAACGAGCGTTCGAGAAAGATCTCGAGAATGTCGCCGAGGACCCGGAGATGGCCCGGGCGTACGTCGAGTGGCTGAAATGTCGGAAAAAACGGGCGACCACCGTGTCGGCCCTGAACGCGAAGATGCAGAAGACGTTGTTGCATCGGTTGTGGGAGCGCATTTCCTGGGACCAGGAGCAGACGTTCGACGAGGCGATCGCTGGTCGAACACTGGAACAGTCTAGGTTAATTTAACCTAACCTCAACTTCTTAGGATTCGATCGAACGCGACTTAGCTACTTGGCGGAAATCGAGTATACGACAGGGAAGTTAGGTTCTTTTGGTATCGTTCTTTTCAGTATTAGATCGGTGCGTACGAAATGTCGGATTTTTAAGCGAACATATAAAACCGCGTATCTTTTTTCCAGAAGCTGTTAATTTAATCGAAATATACTCCGTTCGCTTCGATACATTTTTTCCGACGAGATTTTAACGCACAGACGCCTGTCTTCAAGTAATTCTGATCTTTCGAATCGATAAGCTGTGACACGGAATTTTTTATACTGTTTTTATTTTGGTACCGTTTGGCCCGTAAAAACTGTGTTTTAGATGTTTAAAAAAAAAAACTGAAAGTTGGTTGGCGAAAGATCCGGCGAATAAGTTGAGTACTGCAAAATTTCACATTTTAATTCATTTCGTCTCGCAATTGTTTTGTACGGCGTGTGCAGTCGAGCGTTGTCGCGGAGAGGTACAGTCGATTCTCTCTAATTAACGCACAGATGGCGCACAAAAATTGACAATTTGGGAGGAGGAGAGACGATTATTCAAGCCTTGCGGCTCGTTTTTATAATTGTTGGCAATTCGTAACTATAAAAAGGAGTCGCAAGACTCGAATAATTGTTATCTCCTTTTCCCAAATTGTCCACGTTTGCGCGCAATCCGAGCGTCAATTAGAGAGACATTACTATGTCTCGTTCGTGGAGAAATCGAGGCAATCTCGGCGCAGGTAGGTCAGCGTCGCGTGCCATTTCCACAAATCAGTTTATTATTACTGTACAATATTATATACAGTAATAATAGTAATATAGTATTATTAATTATAATATAATTATTATTATATTTATTATTATTATTATTATTATATAATTATAAATTATTAATAATAATAGTAATAATAGTAATACAGTATTATTAATTATAATATAATTATTATTATATTTATTATTATTATTATTATTATATAATTATAAATTATTAATAATAATAGTAATAATAGTAATACAGTATTATTAATTATAATATAATTATTATTATATTTATTATTATTATTATATAATTATATATTATTAATAATAATAGTAATACAGTATTATGTACAGTATTATTACTGTACAGTAATGTCTCCCTAACTGACGCTCAGATTGTGCAGAAAAATAATAAAAACGAGCCGCAAGGCTCTAATAATCGTATCCGCTCTCCCCAAATTATCCATTTTCGTTTCCAATCCGAGCGTCAATTACAGAGACATTACCGTAACTCCGAACCGCGGCCAGGTACGAGAAGCAGATGATGACGAAGCTGTGCGAGGTGTGGGACCAGAAGAACGTGATGCTGGAGAACCAGAAGATCATAGAGGACATGACGGAGGAGGCGAACGAGGTGGAGTATTTGGCGAGTCTGGAGCGAGGAAAGGACAGGGCGTCGAAGTTGCAGCGGGACGCGGAGGCGGAGTGCCAGAGGATGTGCGAGCTGCGGCAGCGGATCGCCGAGGAGAAGGTGCGGAAGCTGCGGGAGAAGCACCACGCGTTGTGCCGCGAGACGGTGCAGGAGATAGTCGACCTGGTGCTGAAGATCGAGGACTACCGGCAGCTGAACAACGGGATCGTGCCGCAGACGATCCTGCGCGAGTGGATCGTCAAGTTCCTGAAGGGCGAGCCGCTCGGCGACCCGCTTTCGGACGAGGCGGACGAGAAAAGGTACAGCGAGCTGGCGATCGAGGAGGCGTCGCGCGCCAAGCTGGAGCAGATCGAGATCCTGCGGGAGGCTCTGCTCGAGGACTACCTGGAGATGAAGCCGCCCTGGGACCTGCACACTTCGGGGCCCGGGACCGGCGAGACGGACGCGATGCGACTCGGCCGTTTCGTTCTCGGCTACATCGTGCACCGTCTCCTCAACTACGTTCATCCGCGGTCCAGCGACCCCGCCGCGGCCGCTCTGCCGGCTCTGCCCGTCAAGCTGGACAACGTCGCCGTCATCCTCGGGATCTCCAGCCCGACGGTGCACGAGTCGCTGCGCGAGCTGCTGGACCGCTGCGAGATCCGGCTGGTGCGCATGGAGGACGCGATCAATTACTGTCTGGACCGGTACAAGAACGAGATGCTGGACGTCGACCGCGTCGACTCGAAGATCGTGGCGGCGACCGACCGGTTCGTCGAGGAACTCGAGACCAGCAAGCAACGGATCTCCTGCGCCAAGTTCAGGATCGAGTCCAGGACCGACGAGCTACATCTGGGACGGCGCAGCCGCTCGACCTCGTTGATGAGGCGCAACCGACGCGGCTCCGACGAGCTGAAGAAGCACGAGGACAAGCAGACGCAGACGCCCAGGAACTTGCCGTACGACGACATGGACCCGCAGCTGACCGACGCCGCGTACATCGGTGGGTCCCGACGACGAGGAATTATGGTTGATTTTGTCTGGTATGGTCGGTGGGAAAATCGAGTGGACACCGTTTGAAACTGTTGAAGTTTTCTTTCGAATAAATGTTTACATATGAGCCGTTTATTTTGAAAGTGGCATAAGTCACTTTACCGTGATGTAAAGTGGTGGTTTTTTAATGTTTATACGAAATTATTTATCCTGAGATAACGAATACAAGTAAATCTTCTCGAAAGTTAGCATCCATATTTTGAAACGTGTTCAAACGCAAACCCTTAAATATATCGACTTAAAAACGAAGTGACTTATGCCACTTTCAAAATAAACGGCTCGTATATTTATTTAACGACGACGAGAGAGAGGTTACTGTGAATAATCTCACGTATGCAGAAAGTATGATGACAAAAAATATTAGGGTGTCCCATAAGTTCTTTCTTATCTCTTGGCTGTTTAGGGTATCGGCTTCAGTCGTCCCAGAGCTCTTTTACAGTATGTTTCATTGGTGACAAAGTTCCTTATCAAATTTTTTTCTGCGCCGTTCAATATGGATAGCCGAAAGAATCATATATATATTTGCGGCATGCTATGCTTTATTGCTTTAAAAAAAAAGTGATAGGGCAAAGGACACTGCAAACGAGATTTGTACCGTTTACACCAGGGGTGTCAAACTCGCGGCCCGAGATGAACATTTTTGCGGCCCATTCGATATATCCGACGCAAAGTAAAAATAAAATAGAAATAGTCTCGGCCAATAAAATTTCTCCCGAAATAGGAAAGATAGTATCAGAGAAGAGATGTCAAGTATCAGGACGTAAACAATAATTTAACTTTATATATGTTTATTACAATGTACTAGTCAAAATAAAAATATTTGTTTCTATGAACATTGATTTTCTTTTTTTTTTGCGGCCCACCTAAAGTTAAGTATTGTTTATTTAGCCCAAGTTAGCTTTTGAGTTTGACACCCCTGGTTTATACCGATGGTTCTACGACTATTGCGACAGTCCGCAATTGGTTTAAGAGATTCAGAGCTGGCAATTTTTATTTGAAATATGAAGACCGCGGCGGCCGTCCAACAACGACGGATGCGGACCTTATCAAAGATATGCTTGTTGAAAACCCGCGATATAGCGTATGCGAGATAGTGGACTAACTAACTATAGTGGCGAGATGCCACTATTGATTCGAAGTTCCACACCGTCGATAGGTGTTGACACCAGCCTTATGAACCGCGTCTCTCATCAGGAAAGAATTTATAGGACACCCTAATACAATTAGGAGATGTATATCCTTAAGTCCGACGAAACTCGTCGCTTGACAAAATTGTATTGCGCCGCAGGTAAATGGGCGTACGAGTTCCTGCAGCTGGGCCAGCCGATCACGAACGATCTCTCGACCAAGATCATGATCGAGTACCTGAGGACGCTGACGGACGCGAAGGGCTGGGCCCTGATCGACTATCCGATCACGTACGAGCAAATGTCGCTGCTGGAGACTGCGTTGACCGGCTTCAAGATCCCGCCGGACCCGGAGACGTTGGAGTTCGAGAACATCACGGTGGAGGACGTGCAGTCGTTGTCGCCGAGGATCGTTTACGACGCCGGGATCGATCCGATCGACGCATACAGGCAACGAAATATCAATCCGCCGGACTCCCNAAATAAAATAGAAATAGTCTCGGCCAATAAAATTTCTCCCGAAATAGGAAAGATAGTATCAGAGAAGAGATGTCAAGTATCAGGACGTAAACAATAATTTAACTTTATATATGTTTATTACAATGTACTAGTCAAAATAAAAATATTTGTTTCTATGAACATTGATTTTCTTTTTTTTTTGCGGCCCACCTAAAGTTAAGTATTGTTTATTTAGCCCAAGTTAGCTTTTGAGTTTGACACCCCTGGTTTATACCGATGGTTCTACGACTATTGCGACAGTCCGCAATTGGTTTAAGAGATTCAGAGCTGGCAATTTTTATTTGAAATATGAAGACCGCGGCGGCCGTCCAACAACGACGGATGCGGACCTTATCAAAGATATGCTTGTTGAAAACCCGCGATATAGCGTATGCGAGATAGTGGACTAACTAACTATAGTGGCGAGATGCCACTATTGATTCGAAGTTCCACACCGTCGATAGGTGTTGACACCAGCCTTATGAACCGCGTCTCTCATCAGGAAAGAATTTATAGGACACCCTAATACAATTAGGAGATGTATATCCTTAAGTCCGACGAAACTCGTCGCTTGACAAAATTGTATTGCGCCGCAGGTAAATGGGCGTACGAGTTCCTGCAGCTGGGCCAGCCGATCACGAACGATCTCTCGACCAAGATCATGATCGAGTACCTGAGGACGCTGACGGACGCGAAGGGCTGGGCCCTGATCGACTATCCGATCACGTACGAGCAAATGTCGCTGCTGGAGACTGCGTTGACCGGCTTCAAGATCCCGCCGGACCCGGAGACGTTGGAGTTCGAGAACATCACGGTGGAGGACGTGCAGTCGTTGTCGCCGAGGATCGTTTACGACGCCGGGATCGATCCGATCGACGCATACAGGCAACGAAATATCAATCCGCCGGACTCCCGCTCGGACATCGCGCCGCTCCGTTCCGTCGTTCTGATCCGCGCGGTTCGTTTCAGACAGTCGAGACTGGTGCCGACGCCGATCAAGCGAATCCGGGACATCCCGACGCCGACGTTCGCCAAGCTGTTCGTGCGGGTGACGCAGAAGCCGATCGACTTCGAGATCGTGGAGCGGTCGTTCGAGGCGGTGCCCGCGAACGCGCCGTCCGTCGACAAGTTCTACGCCTCGCGGAAGATCGGGCATGTCCTCTACTACAGCCACCTGGACGAGACCACGCTGAAGAAGCTGGCTAGGCTGATCATCGGGGAGCCGCTGCAGAGCAAGAACTCCGAGGAGCTGTTCGGGGAGAGCCAGAAGGGCTACGAGAAGGGCAAGTCGCGCAGCACCGGCTCGAAAGCGCCGGTGGTCCGACGGTTGATCGTCGACGCGTCGGAGGACGCCGCGGACTCGCTGACGGACTACGAGATCGAGCTGGACAGGGAGGGCGAGAGCGGGCAGGACTACGAGTTCCTGGAACCGAGCCGAGCGGCGAAACCCGGCGAGGCGGGCTGGGATTGGGTGGACCTGCCTCTGCCGTCCTCCTCGTTCGTCCAGGTGCTGGCCAGCCTCTGGGAAGGCCTCGAGGAGACGTACCTCGAGGACCTGAAGGAGCTGCTGTTCCTGAAGAGCGTGCACACGTCCGGCATCGTGCCGTACAAGAGCAACCTGGAGAAGAACCTGCGGGAGTTCGTGAAACGGCCGGACAACAAGCAGGACCTGCTGAACGACTTCCATCTGGCGTTCAACGACCTCGACGACGACGCGAGACACGACTCGGACGTGAAGTGCGAGATGCACCGCAGGCTCGCCGACTTCCAGGCGGTGCTCTGGGAGACCTGCGACAAGCGGAGGCAGGAGGCGGAGCGGGAGCGCGCGCGGTTCATCGACGACGAGTGGACCGTCGAGGAGTCCGCCGTCCTCTACGACGTCTACGTCGGCATCGTCCAGACGGAGCTGGACCGGTGCATCGACACCGTGCACACGGTCCTCGATTACTATGCCGGCATGTCCGGCAAGCCGATGCTGGACCCGCGATTCCCTAAAATCGTCCTGAATCAGACGCAGATGATCGTCGGCCTGCCGGAGGAGCAGTTCGCGAAGCCGATCGAGGAGAAGCCGGCCGAGAAGAGGACTTCCAAGAGGGCCAAGGTCAAGTCGGACTCCGCAAAAACGTCCGTCGTAGTCCCGCTGCTCCGCAGCAGTCCGCCGGTGCTCGACACCAAGCTCCTGCAGGAGCAGATCCGGAAGCTTCTTGCGAACAAAGAGGAGGCGACGAGAGAGCTGCGCGAGTTGGAGATCGTCAAGGCGATCGAGAGGAACGTTCAATACGCGAAGGGCGTCGCCGACGAGGTCGCCGCGATGGTCGACCGCGCGGTTCAAGTGCAAGGCAGATTGCGGGACTCGAAGAACGTTCCCGTTCCGATCGACTCTGGGCGCGATGCCGATCTTGCTCTCGAGCGGAAATACGCTACCGATTACGAGATCCAACGGCTGCGAGCGAGGCTGGACGCGATCGAGGCAGCCGCTCGGAATGAGTTCGTTTTCCTTCTGGAGACGATGCGCAACGCGTTCCACAAGATTTACGACGACATTTTGGAGAGGTTGACGCTTCATGCATCTGGAGAGCCTTTTAATATCCTTCTATTCCTCTGTTATGTCCTCTATATTAAACATGGTGTTCCAAAATTATGGTAATTTTGGGAAGAGGGAGGTCCCTGAGGTCATTCGAAGCAACTTTTTCCTTTGCGAAAATTTTCTCCGAGGCACCATTAACTAGTTATTGACGAAAAACAGTGGCCAATGAGTAATCGCGTACGGCTGGCGATCCGCCCTCGCGACCACTGCCGCTGAGTCAGACGGCCGGTGCGACGCGGCATTGGCCGGAAGGGCGGAGCGCTGGCTGCGCTCGCTCTCCGATTGGTCAGCGTTTTTCGTTAATAACTCGTAAACGAAGCCGCGGATTGCATTTTCGCTAAGGAAAATGTCACTTCAAATGACCTCAGGAATCTTAAAATTCTTCTCTTATATCAAATACTCGAACGAAATTATTAGATTGCATTGCTCGCTGTAATTTGATGGTACACACAGCCGAAATTGCTATATTTCCATCGATCAATTTACTAATATGTTTTCATCTGTAAATCGTAAGGTTTCAATAATTTCTAAAAATCATCGCCGGTAGATAATCTTTGAGTTACAATATCTGTTCAAACGCGTTAGGTTCGAACTGTTAGAAATTGATTGACATGCGGCGCGTGTCGCACCTCGGTTTAGATATTGGTTGGAGATGAAGAGCGTCAACGACATGGCCACCGTGTTCTGCTTCGCGATCGAGGAGGGCAGGTATCTCGAGAAGGAGATGCTGCTCGACGCGGACCGTTTCATCGTCCGATCGAACGTGCTCATGAGGGAGGTGCCGACGAAGAAGCCGGAATCGTTGAAGGAGACCGAGACGGACACACGGTTCCGCATGGCTCAGCTCTCGCGGTTGGCGGAGGTGTTCAGACGCGTGGCTCCGCACGGGATCATGCCGGAGCGCGCCTTTGTGCTTATTCTTCAAGATCTGGTCGGCCATGGGCTAGAGGAGGGCGAGTCGATGGTGCTCCCGTGCTGCTGGTACAGGTTTCGACCGGCGGACGTCTGCATTCTCGTTCGCAGGTTATTCTCCGGTTGTTTAATTAATCCGGTCGCGGACCTCTGACACCTAGGAAGAGACAAGGAAAATTGCACGAATTCGAAGCGGTAGTTCAGATGAATTTTGAGATGTGTTCTCGTGGGGTTATTTGTATGCGACTTAGCTTAAATGAAAGCTGGAAGTGTCCGCTTTAAGACAGGATAAATTAGATTGCAATGGAATGACGAGATCATTTTGAAAAATTGAAAGGAATCGACCTCTGACATCATGGGGTTTATAAAATTTAAAGGGAAAGTTTAGATGGATTTTAAAATATCTTCAAATGCAGCTATTTATATGCGACTTAGCTTAAATGAAAGCTGGAAGTGTCCGCTTTAAGATATGCTAGATTAGATTGCAACAGAACAACGAGATAATTTCGAACAATTAAAAGAAATCGACCTCCGACATCATGGCTCTATCGATCTCCGAAATCGTAAGATATGAAGGGAAAAGTTCAGATGAATTTTAAAATACGTTCCCGCATAGCTATTTCCATGTAATTTAGCTTAAACGAAAGCCAGAAGAGTCCGCTTTAAAACAGGATAGCTTAAACTGCAATTATATAACAAGTCCGTTCGCGTGATCGGATTTTTCAGAGGACCTCCTCTTCCAGTGCTTGGACTGATCAGCGCCCAATTTCCAGATTGTTCGGCACCACGAGCCACGTCGACTGGCGGGAATTCGTGATCTACGCGATGGATCTGCCCATGCCGAGCTTCCGTGACATTCTAATCGCCAGGGACCGGTTCCGCATCCAGGACTGCGACCTGAAGGAGGTGGTGTCCGTGGATCAGTTCATCTGGACGCCGCTCTGGTTCCTCGAATGCATCGACATGCCGAGGCGGGCGTTCGAGCTGCTGATCGACAACTTCCAGTACAACCACGAGGAACTGTACGAGGAGGAGCTGTTCCGGCTGGAGCGCGACAAGTTCGACGTACACTTGAGCAAAGTCAGCTCCGACGATTATTCGGACACCGATTGCCTGCTCACCGAGGAGACGCTTCGTTTGGTCCTGGCCAAGGAGCTACTCTGCAGGATGTACACGATCGGCAGGCGCACCGTGAACTACACCGCCCTGCTGTTGGCGTTCTGCAAGGACGAGGACCCGCGCGAAGGCTTTGGGAAGGCTCTAGCCCTTGCGATCGGCACCAGGGTCTGCACCGACGTCGAGCAAGGGGAGAGATACGTCGAAGAGCTCTACCAGCGGATGCGTTACCGACACACAGCGACACCGGAGTCCTCCTCCACCGTGGAACAGCAGGTAGATTCTTCCGTTGGTACGATGCCGGCCGCTAAAAAACTGATCGATGGGCGCCGTTGCACCGGACAAAATTTCAGGCGAACACGCCTGAAATGCCTGTGACTTCGTTTCAGAGGAGCGGGGCAGCCGTCAACGAGGTTTCGGAGCGACGAAGCATCGACAAAGTTTCGACGCCAGATTATCCGACGTACGAGTCGTTTTTCGGCGAGAGCGACTACAAGTTCCGGGCCTCCGACCACGAGTCGGTCGAGTATTGGGCGTCCCTCGACGTTTGTCTCGTAAGGACAACTAAACTCTCGGGTTTCGGACCTGCTGGTCGCGCGGCTCGACGAACCGTGTTTTTCAGACCACGTTGTGTGCGACGCTGCCGTCTTTCGTCCTGAGCCCGGAGCTTCTCGGCAAGCACAAGAACCTGCGGGACGCCTTGACCGAGGTCTACGGAGAGCTGAGGGACGACGAGCTGGAGGAACAGGAGACCGCTGCTCTGGTCCACAGGCTGCTGAATCATCGCTTCATGCGGCAGCTTTTGAACAGCACGACCAAGTTCACCGTCAAGAATATGGGCAAGATCGTGGAAGAGATTCTGAGATCGAGGCGGAACGCGGCGGGCTAGACTCTCGACGACCGCCTCTGGTTTATTCTAACTGTAATTTTGCAGCTCGCGGTGGACAGAAACGTCGAAAGTCTGTTAAAACAGGCTGTTTCATCCCTGCGCGTTATTCCAGTGGACATTTACATTTCGAGTTGATATTGAGTTATGATACTTTTGGGACGAACGCACAAAACTCTCTTGCGCCGGAGAGCGCGGTGTAGTAATTTGTAATTAATGATTAATTCGGAAATGAAACTGCTGGAAACGCTGAATTATTTATCTTCGATCCCGAAGGTCCGTCGTGTGGCTGGGCGAAGTGTTGCCAGTCCTGAAATAGTCCTGAAATAGTCTTGAAAGCTGTCGGTCTTCGCGGACACGGCAAAGAGGCGGGATGCCGAGGGATAAGCGTTAACAAGATTTATTGTTTCGATACAACACGAGTGTAGCTTGTGAAAAATTGTAATTTTCCAGCGTGGTTCAGAGGATATCGCGTATTATCCGTACGTGGGGATATATCCGTCTCCTCGGACCTCTGTGTTCACGGTTGTACGTCGCTTCGCGTTTCGGGTTCGTATCGACCGCACCGCGTCGACGGGCCGTCGTCCCCTTGGAAACGCGAAGCCGTCGAGATTCCGTCGGTTCATCCATCGGATGCGTTCTCCGCATCGAAGGGCGCCGTCCGTTTCCGTTTCCGGCGACGGCCGCGTCGGCCGATCGAGCGTAACGGACGCGACGGTCGAGTCCAACTAAAAAAAGATTCCATCGAAAAAATAACTGTTGCTTTTCCGTCGCCGTCCGACGGTCGCCTTGTCGGAGCGTCGTTCAGCAAGCGCGGCGGCGACTCGAACGACGAGCGTCGTCTGAGGTTCGATTATCCTCCCCGAATGTTCCGCTGACTTATCACGACTATCTATGGATATTATCGATTATTCGATAGCGATAGTACATGGTAGATTATCGTTAAAGTAGGTAAGTTGAAATCGCTTGGCTCGACATCCGACGACAGGACGAAAACCGCTCCCTCCCGTCGTCTCGAGATTCTCCGGGACCTAGAGGTATAATCGCTCGCCTAATCGGACGATCCCTCGCCCCGTAGGAAATTGGTCTAACCTTATTGTGCTCGCACTATGGCGCGCTCGCTCTGGCGCTCGCGTTTTTTTATCGATACCGCGAGGCTCGTGTCGCCGCAAACAAAGTGCATTTAGTTTCACAGCCCGTACTCTCACCCTTAACGATTTAAGTAATTAAATCCAAACGATCGCAACGCTCACAGATAATTTACGCGTGATATGTCGTGTCTATGTGTTTCTCTCTCTTTTCCTCTGTGTATGCGTGTATGTATGTCTGTGTGTTCTTGTGAATGCACGCGCGTACGTGTTCCAACCTTAGACGCTTCCGCGAGCCACAAGCCTCCGAATTTTAGTTTCGGAGCTGCTCGCAAGGTGTCTGTGCACCGAAGCTTTTACTACCCTCCTGCCTGGATCCGAGGTTCCCGCGAATTTATACGTGCCCCGGCAAGCGTGCAAGGGTTCGATTCTACCGTAGGAAATTTTACAAATGCTAAAACGATCGTGCTCGTCGCCGGAGACGCGATAAGCAATTCCAAGAATGTTTTCCTCCCAAGAACTGTCAGACCTCGCCCAAAAACTGTTTTCGTTCTTAAAGTGACACATTCCACAGAGACATATTAAAAGACATATTCTATCTCGGAACTTTTTAGTATCTCGTCTCACAGTTTCTGGGAAAACAAATTCCGAAAAATCACTGTTCTCTAGGTAGCTCGCCGCAACGCCATTGCGACAGAGAATGTCCATTCGGATCTGCATCGAGCGATCCTATCCGCGGATCCGAGGAATAGCAGAAGCCCCGGCGGGCACAATTGTGTCGTGTCTGTAACGTATATATAACTTGTGTGCACGATCCTCGAGGACGTGCACGTACGTATAAAATAGTAACAACGAGAGTTCTCGAGTACGCAGGGTTCCAACGTCGAACGGGTCGCGTAACATGCTTAAGTACCGTCTCCATTCTGCACGGCCGTCGCCGGTCGTATAGGAATTTTAAAAAAATAAGCATCCCACCCCCTCCGACTCGAGACGTCGACGCGAACTATCGTCGATCTACCCTAATCTATTAGAATGACTCTAGGCTCCGCTCGCCGGACCGGACGCCGCGATTTCTGCGACCCGACAACCATGACTCTGCCACCGAACCGTTCCGAGCAACAGCTCGAACTCGAGGCTGACTCGATCGTCGTCCGCGACGTAACCGCGAGCTTATCCCAAATTACTCTGCAGTCTGCTTCAGCCGTGGAACCGCGTTCCCGGCCGCAATTTGAGGAGGTCACATTGAGGTCACGTTGAGGTCGCGTCGCAACCGATTCTGGTGTTACAGTAAATTCTGCCTAATTTTCCTTCTGTTTGTAAATAAAAATAGACGATTTGGGAAGCGGAGTTGAGATTATTCGAGTCTTGCGCCACGTTTTTACAATTGTCGACGATCCGCAACCATAAAAATAAGTCGCGAGGCTCTCCTCTTTCTGAAATAATCTTCTATTCTTGTTTAAAAGCTGAAGAAAAATTAGGGAGAATTCAGCGTAATCCTCTGCGCGCTAGGACTGAATGAAACCGGAGGATCTCGCCTCGAATCGATTGATTATACTAATTGCACCGTCGTTACCGTAACAGGATACGCGCGTTACATAGTGGACGAGGATCGAGAACGGTCCTCGCGCCAGGATCCCGCGCATCTACAATCGCCGAAAGCTTCTCCGACCTGCACGAATCGCTGGTGTCCGCTTGCCTCGGGTGCGCGCACCTCTCTATGTATATGCGCCTGTGTACATGTACCTGTATATGTATACCTATACGTACGATGTAATATATACCGTTAGTAGTTGGATTTGCCAGAAAGAATGACCGAGCGTATTCTCCCTGTCCGCTCGACACGCTCGTCCCGTTCACTATCGAAACTCGCGCGCGACACGCACGCTCCCCTTTGGCACGTTAGCTCCGCTCGCACGCTAAATTCTACTCGCTGTGTCTAAGCCTATCGTTGCGATAAAAAAATACGAGGAATAAAAATATATCACGTAACAACGCCCCTCCCCCACACTCGTTCGCGGCCGAGCCACCGACTCGGACCGCTCCCGGGAGGAGCAAACTCGCCGGAGGATGTTAACAAGCGGTTCCAACGTCAACGTTACCGGTCGCGACCCGGTCCATCGGGTCGGGACACGTTCGTACCGAGTACAGGCTCGATCGTCACCGCCTCGGGGCGGTTCCGATCGCAGCGACAAAGGAAAGGAAAGTCGTTTCGATCGGTCGTTTGCACAGATTTCGATCGATGAGCCGCGCGGCCTGGTCGCCGCGGGTTGATCCTTAGGAACCGGGAGCGGATCGCGTCGCAGGAGCGTCGTCTTGCTCGGGTCTCGTCCGCTACCCGATCCACGGGAGCCATCAGCTGGGCTGCGGGGGCGTTAGTTTCACCAGGAGCCACGTGTACAGCTTCGGTTTCTGCTTGTCCACCAGCTCGTACTGCAGGTTGCTCAGTCCGTCCGTGGCGAATCGCTTCTTGCCCGTCTTCAGGTACTCGTACCTGTAATCGAGACTTGGCGTTAATGCGGGAGGAACGTCTGTTCACATTTTGTGTCACGACGAGTATACTCGTCACGGAGAGGCGGCAGTATTTTGTGTTATGACGAGTATACTCGTCACGGAGAAGTGATAGTATATTTTGTGTTATAACGAGTATACTCGCCATGAAGAAGTAGCAGTACTTTGTGTCACGACGAATATACTCGTCACGGAGAAGTTGCAGTATTTTGTGCACGACGAGTATACTCGTCACACATAAAACATAGCCGCCATCGGCTATATAAATCGTGATTTCAGTGGAAGTAAATCAGCGTTAGGTAAAAGTTCAAAGTAAATAAAACAAAAAAGAAAAACAGAAAGAACAAATAAAACGGAAAGAAGCAAAATAAAAATGTCCGATAACGAAGCGGAAGCTATTTACGACTCGACCTAATATCTTTAAGCCCGGCTTCGAGGCCCGACGTCATAAATGAGGCATAAACGTAGGATTCGCGGTATAAAGCGTGCGATCTTTTTCGAGGAACTGTGTCTGGGGATCGCGTGAGCGCACGGGGGGTGTTCTCACCTCTTTGGATTCGCCTTCTCCTTTTTGTGCGTGAGCATCTTGTAGCGTGCGACGTTCGCCGGGTACCGAGAGATATGGAGACCATGGGCCTTTATTCGATTGGCCATGTCGTCGTCTTCGCCGCCCCAGCCCCAGAACACGTTGCTGAATCCGTTGACCAGCCGGAAGTGCTCGCGCGACATCGCTGACACGCCGCCGAACAGATCGGCGTACGGCAATCTGCAAAGGACGGGACGTTCGTCGTCTCGGCGTTTCGTATCGAAAAGAATAGAGAGAGAGAAAAAGAACGCGTTGCGACCGAATCGACCGCGAACAGCCGACGGGTGCGGCATAGCCGAGGATACGGCCGCGCGATACCTGTATTTGAACTTGTCAACTGCCACCGACATGTGCCTGGGCTGCTCGGGGCAGGTATATAGATTCCTATCGTCCTCCGGAAGTAGGTCGACGTCGTGAAAAATGAAGCAGTCGAAAGGTCGCTCCTTCAAAGCTTCCACGTAGCCGACGTTCATCAGCATCGCGCGGTTGAAGGCGTCGCTGCCTGGAACACCACCAACGTTCGTAACCGTTTCCGACAAGGTCCAAAATCGCGGGACGTGCTCTCGCATTCAGGTCGGGGCCGTGCGCCCGCGATCCCGACGGGAGCAAAAACTTTAGAGAACCGCGCCGTGCCACCTGCTTTCGTGGTAATATTACAGTTTTAACTGGCACAGCAGCGATCTGTGCACCGTAGTAGTTCACGGTTAATGTTGCATCGGGTCGGCAGCCGGCATGAGAATTCTCGTCTACCCGATGACTTTTTCGTCCGAGAAGCGATTCGAGTCTATGAACGTCATAGTCGGCACGACTATTAACCAGTTAGCTGTATTCGACAAGTATGATCGTAACGGAAAGTTGCAGTAGTTTGTGTCGTGACGAGTATACTCGTCGTGGAGAAGTGGCAGTATTTTGTGTCATGACGAGTATACTCGTTATAATAAGAGGCAAATAATTTATTTTATTAACCAGTTAGCTATGTTCGTCGAGTATACTCGTCATGGAGAAGTGGCAGTATTTAGCGTCACGACGAGTATACTCGTCATAATAAGAGGCAAATAATTTATTTTATTAACCAGTTGGCTGTGTACGACGAGTATACTCGTGGAGAAGTAGCAGTATTTTGTGTCATGACGAGTGTACTCGTCGTGGAGAAGTGGCAGTATTTTGCATCACGACGAGTATACTCGTCATAATAAGAGGCAAATAATTTATTTTATTAACCAGTTGGCTGTGTACGACAAGTATACTCGTGGAAAAGTAGCAGTATTTTGTGTCATGACGAGTGTACTCGTCGTGCGTAAAAAATAACAGTATTTTGTGTCACGACGAGTATACTCGTCGCGCGTAACGTCATAATCGGCACGACTATGTGAGAGAACCAATGCAACGAGAGAGGAAGCGAGGATGTGAAAAATAAACGCGCCTTCGTACAACTTCGTACAAAAACTTCGTCTTCATTTATCGTGTGACCTTGACTCTATAATTTCCGCGTCAAAGGGTAGTCGAGATTCTTCGTGCAACTTCGCTTTACAAATTTCAATTGAATCAAATCGAGTTACATATTACAATTTTATGGAATTTCTCAGGTTCCCGTTGCGTCTGTCAAAATGTTTAAAACATTTAACTATTCAATTTTAGACGATTCATTGAACCCTCGTCCGCCCCTCGCGTCAATTTCACGCAGTTATCACGGACACTGTTGAAACAATCTGTTGCACGAATCGATTTCTTGACTGCGAACAACGCGAATGATCGACCTTTGAACTTATCTCGCCTTATCTTGAGTTTTCGTTCTTAGAAGAGGAATTTGCGAAGTTAATTATCTGTTGTTCCAGCTGATCCATTTTTTATGATTCCGTTTATTCATTTATTTCACGAATAAAAAGGCAAAAAGGTACATAAGGGACCTCTTCTTCCGAAATTATCAATTTTCCTTTACAAACCGAAGTAAAATTAAGGAGAATTTACCGCACCCCTAAAAGTAGGTCTAGAAAAATTGATCCTGCGCACCGCGACCCAGTCATTAAAATGGTTCGCCGTTCGAAGGGTTAAACCTTCGCACTCGAAGCTATTTCAACTGTAAATCTGACATAATTTTTCTGACTCATAGTATTTTTATTTTACACTTTGCTAATGTAAAAATTATTTTCGAACGTGACATCATCAATTTTAATGGTGCCTCAGAGTCACCACTCGAGTGCAAAGGGTTAATATTCCGTTGCGAGTAGCGAGACGCTTGCTCCTCCGGTGTTAGACTGGCTGGCTTGTCATCTAGGTTGTGCAAGAGATAAGAGGATAACGATGAAAACGTCTTTCTCCTCCCTCGCTCGTCTGCCGTGGGATACGCGACGAGATCGAACTCGAGACAGGCGACTGCCTTCTTGCCCGCCGGTCTCGTCTCGGCGCGGATCGCGAGAAAACTGCGAGCAAATTGAATTTCAAAAGTTTCGCCCCACCGGTCAGATCGTTTATCGTTGCCCCGCAGCTGCGGACGGTCCTCCGAGTCGATCCCGAGGTTCCCGCGGCGCGTCCCGATCGATCGGGGACGCCCCATGAGTTTCCCGTTAATGCGAAACCGACGATCACCGTGGGGGATAAGGTACACCGCCGAGTTACGGTAACGACGAACTAAGAATAACGTTGTTCGATGCTCCCGGCGAACGCATCCGATATTAACGGTACCGCGGCGAGTCCCACGACAGCTGCGGCTAATTGCATCGCATCCGCGCCGCGCGATCTCAGCCGTCGTCCGACTCCGCGATATTCTCCTCGGGTATCCGGCGACGCGGTCGTCGTACGTGCGGTTGGCTTTGCACCTCGGCTAACATTCCTCTCAGCTATTTATTTGCACGCTTCCGATCAAGCTGTTATACAGTCCTATAAGTGTCCCATAATTTTGGTACTTCCGCGAAAATAAAGATTCCTGAGGTCATTCGAAGCAACTTTTTCCTTTACGAAAATTTTCTCCGACTCATCGTTTACGAGTCATTGACGAAAAACACTGACCAATGAGAAGCGAGCTCGGCCAGCGCTCCGTCCGTCCGGCCAATGCCGCGTCGCGCCGGTCGTCTGACTCAGCGGCAGTGGTCGCGAGGGCGGATCGCCAGCCGCACGCGATCTCTCGTTGGTCACTGTTTTTCGTTAATAACTCGCAAACGAAGCCGCGGATCGCATTTTCGCTAAGGAAAAAGTTACTCCAAATGACCGAGGAACCTTGCATTTCTGGATTGGAAGACACTTTTGAGATTTTTTTTGAGATTGACACCTTTACACCCCGTATTTACCAAGATGTCAGGAACCTCCGGGTGATAACATAATTACGGGCCACCCTGTATAGCTGAATTTGCCGGTTCCGATGACGCGCGAGGTCCGCTAAATATTCAAGATGCTGGCAATTATGCAAAGCAAACTATTCGCGACGGCTGACTTTTTGTTTTAATCTCGAGTAGCCCGGGGAAAGGAGCTGCGGAGAGGAAAGGAGAGGAGAGGGGGGGAGTGTAGAGGGCGATCTGAGATGGAAATAAGAAAAGCCGGGATCTGAATTGCAAAGAGGTCGGCAGGTCGAAGCCGTGTCCGGACCGTTTCGAGCAATTAAAGCCGCGTTGAGAGACCGGCGTGCCGGTGCAACGCGACCGGGACCGTCTCCCCGCGCGGCGTCGCGGCCGGTGCATCGGATGCACCGGGCCGATGCCGCATTGCGGCGATGCGTCGCGTCGCGTGGCCCGTCTTCCGACGGTCGCCTCTCTCCGTTCCAACGATTAGGTCGCGTTACGTAAAGGCGTACACCGTCGGACACGCCGTGAGATCGACGCCGACCGCGTCGGGATTCGTTTCGTGGGCGTCGTCGACGAACGGCCGGATTCGGCGTCCGTCGCGCGATTATGCAACCGGCCAGCCAGCAGCAGCCGCCACACACCGAAACGCGGTCGATACCCACGGAAGATCGACTGCGAAACGACGACCGGTTGGTTCGTCTCGTTCGCGGTGCACTTGCCGATGCAAGTCGACGAGCGGGACGCTACGGAGGGAAAGAGAGGAATCCCGATGATTCCACCTGGAATCGATACTTGGCCGAGGGAATTCCATTCGAGATAGACTGCGAAACGATCGGTTGTCCCGTTTGCGGCGAGCATTGTTCCGGGATGGGCGGTTCGCGGACGGGACGTTGCGGAGGGGAAAAAGGAATCTCGGTTCTCGCCGTTCCGATATCTCCTTCGATCGACGCTTCGCCGAGGAAACGAACAGCGAGACCGTTGCTTCCGTCGTCTGCGGTAAGCACTTTTGGGACCTGGAAAATTCGCGGACCGGACGCCTTTGCGGGCCGAAAGGAATCTCGTGGCTTTGGTTTTCTCTTTCGACTGGATTTCTTTTTCTCTGTAAACGACGGGGGGCAGCGGGGAGGATAGACAACGACAACGACAACGACAACGACAACTTGTAATAGGAAAAAACGTTGCGCCCACCTTTCTGCTCGACAATGAATATCTGGTAGTCGATCTGTTGGCGGAGCAACATCGGATGAAGGTTGTAGAGCAACGCTTGCAGATGTTGCGGTCGATCCCGGAACGGTATCACGATTGCGACCCGGTGTCTAGCGACACACTCCACCGGGTATCCTCTGCCGCCGGGCTTCACGTCCGCGAAAGCCTTGTCCTTCTCCATCACCGAGAGCTCCGGCGGTGATTTGCCGACGGCCAACGGTCCAACTGCGGAAGACAACGTTGTTCAAACCTCTCGAAGATTTCGCGATTTCGTTAAGCTAACGAGCACGCCGGCGCGCGCGCTCGGTCGCTCGGGACCGAATCGGCACCATAATTGCCGAGGAGGGTTCGCTAACCGTGCACGGCTTCTGATCGGGACAATTGGCGCGGGTCAAAAGCCATTACGATTACGCGGCTCCGATTGGTTCTCGATCGGGCCTCGGCGACCCGCGTGTTCGTTAACAAATTGCCAATCAACGTGGCTGATCTTGTCTAGCCGGTCTTGAACTGGTTACTAGTACCCTCTTCAGCTTCTACGATATGTATAGCCGGTATTTTCTTTTTTTTTGCAGAAATAAAATATGGATCATTCGATCGGGTCGGCGATCTGTCTACGATCGAGCTGCACCGACAACGCTATGTTATTCAGCGATAAAAGCGGCTCGCGGTTTCCAGCGACGCGATCGGAGGAGCAACGTTTTGTGTTCAGAATTGTACAGTGATGTCTCCCTTAGTGACGCTCAGATTGTGCACAAAAATGGACAATTTGGGAAGAGGAGTCACGATTATTCGAGGCTTGCGACTTGCTTTTTATAGTTACCAAAATCGAAANAGGGTTCGCTAACCGTGCACGGCTTCTGATCGGGACAATTGGCGCGGGTCAAAAGCCATTACGATTACGCGGCTCCGATTGGTTCTCGATCGGGCCTCGGCGACCCGCGTGTTCGTTAACAAATTGCCAATCAACGTGGCTGATCTTGTCTAGCCGGTCTTGAACTGGTTACTAGTACCCTCTTCAGCTTCTACGATATGTATAGCCGGTATTTTCTTTTTTTTTGCAGAAATAAAATATGGATCATTCGATCGGGTCGGCGATCTGTCTACGATCGAGCTGCACCGACAACGCTATGTTATTCAGCGATAAAAGCGGCTCGCGGTTTCCAGCGACGCGATCGGAGGAGCAACGTTTTGTGTTCAGAATTGTACAGTGATGTCTCCCTTAGTGACGCTCAGATTGTGCACAAAAATGGACAATTTGGGAAGAGGAGTCACGATTATTCGAACCTTGCGGCTCGTTTTTATAATTGTTGAAAATCGGCAACTATATAAAAACGAGTCGCATGGCTCGAATAATCGTATCTCCTTTTCCCAAATTGTCCACTTTTGCACGCAATCTGAGCGTCAATTAGAGAGACATTACTATGTCTCGTTCGTGGAGAAATCGAGGCAATCTCGACGCAGGTAGGTCAGCGTCGCGTGCCATTTCCAAAAATCAGTTTATTATTACTGTACAGTAATAATAATATATAATAATATTAATAATATTAATATAATTTACAATATTATAATATTAATATTATTATTATATTATATAATAATAATAAATAATACAGTAATAATACTGTACAGTAATGTCTCCTTAACTGACGCTCAGATTGTGCACAAAAATGGACAATTTGGGAAGGGGAGACACGATTATTCGAGCCTCGCAGCTCGTTTTTAGAATCGTTGACAATTCATGACTATAAAAACAAACAGCAAAGCTCGAATAATCGCATCTCCTCTTCCCGAATTGCCCATTTCTGTGAACAATCTGAGCGTCAATTAGAGAAACATTACCGTATTTCCTTCGACGGGTTATCGGTGAATATCCCCGAGGAGGCGGGCCGCGTGCACGGAGGATGATGATGATGATGAGAAGCGAGGTGAAACGATGCAATTTTTGAAACGAGGCGGAGCGACGGCGGGAACGGGGGAAGAAATGAGATTACGGTGGGAAATGTTGAGACGATGAGCGAACGCTGGACGAGGCCGGCGCAGTTCCAACGGGTTTCATCGAGAATCGGTGGGCCGATTTCGACAAAGAACTTACCGAGATTCGGAGAGACGAGGGGACACTGTTGCATCGTGGTGCCGTTCGTCGAGTTCGACACCGAGAACTCCTGCGTGCCGGACAGCAGATACGCGTTTCGAGTGGACTGAGCGGCCTCCAATTTGGAGAAATTCGAGTTGCCCCGGGTGCCGGCCCATTGCAGGCTGGTCGCGGTGGCATTCAGACTGGCCAGTATCAGGCTCGGCACGGTCACGGGCCCGTAAATGATCAGACCACGAGAGTGATGCCTGTAGCCGCGGTCGGCGTACCTGCGAACAACACAGAGCCGACGAGAGTCAACATCGGGCGAGTAAACGAATAAACTCTCGCCGAGAAGAGGTATCTTTGGACTCTGCGGGCCGGTTTTATTCTCAGCCCTCTTCGACCGACTTATTTCGGTCTCTTAAATGCCTATCAACGCGAATTCTAATTAAAGAGTTCGCCGTCGGGTCGCTCGAATCGAACCGGATCGTCCAGGCAGGAAAACTTCGCTCGAAAATCGCATAATAAATTCGAACGACGGCCGAATCCTTCGGAAATCTGTCTCGCGGTCCGATTCGCCGTGAACTCGAAGCTTCGTGATGTCCGCTTCGCGTCGATTCCGCGCATCCCCCCGGCGAGAGAGGGATATTTTTTCTTAGCTGAAATCGTCGGCCGCCGCTCGCCGCGGCTCGAACGGCGCGGACCGGGAACAGCGCTATCGCCTCGCCGATTGGCAGATTTATGCGAGCGTTTCCTTTAACGATGATGCACAATCGCGGTGCGCACCCGTGGGAGTCGCTGCAGGACTTCCGCGAGCCGCGATCGATCGTTCCGAAGCGAATCGCGAAGCGGACGGCCGCGTTATCGGGCGCTGGACGCGGCGGGGCGGGATTTGCGGTCCGAAAGGTTCTCCTCCTGGAGGGAATACCATGGGCCGCGCGATACGGCGACGGGCAGTTTAACATTCCTGGAAACGGCCGGCTGAAATATGGGGACAATCTCCGGGCACGGTGGCATCCGATCGAGAATAACGAGGACGCCGCGAGCGCGGAGTCGGCGCGATTAGCCGCGCAAACGACTCGTGGATATTCAAGCGACTGGGTTGGTTGGTTGGTTGGTTCGTTGGTTGTTTGCGTTTACGCGCGGTATCTGCACGCCGCCAGTCGCGTCGCGATACGCTGTACAAGCAGACTCGGTGATCCGTTTGTCTTGAACTTGTCCGGAATCCCCGGATCGCCGGCAAATTTTGTGGATACTGCCATAAAATTTCGAGCGAGTCGCGTCACCATCGAAACCCGGTTGCACGGTATCCAGAGAAGCGGATTTTACAGAGAAGCGTCGCTTCGAGACGCGCTGCGATTTCTTTTCGCTTCTCGCGTTAATCAACGATTCTTCGTCGTCGATATGCATAGCTTTCTTTTCTTTTATTTTTGTAAGAGCAAACTTTCCGTACGGTCTACGACGAGTGAACGACTACACGGTTGCACGTCACGTGAACTCCACGTGGACACAAATAAATGTCTACAAGCTCCTCTATCTATTAGGTCTACCGGAAAGTTCTGTCCGTTTTTGAATTGAAATATAACACAATTTTCATACATTTAATAATATTTATTGTAGAGTATACTTTCCATCGTTACTTATGACTTCTTGCCAGCGTGATGGCAGCTTGTAAATGCCATTTTTAGAAAATGATTTATTTTTAGAGGCGAAGAACTCGACTAGTGCTTGGTTGACATC